GGCGTTTTACTTGTGTTTAGATATATATATGTAGTATATTTGATATATATATTATATATATAAATATTTATGTATGAATATATGGCAGTATATATATTATATACATATATATATTATATATATATATAGTATATATATATATATATGTGTGTTGTGTTGTATTGTGTGTGTGTGTGTGGTTGTGGTATCGGTGTGGTGATGTGGTGTTGTGTGCGTGTGAGGATGTGTGGTTGTGGGTGTGTTGTGTTGTGTTGTGTGGGTGTGGGGTCACGAGCTATGGCCGTTGTGTGTAGTGTGTATACATAAATGTTATAAAAAATTATATGTGTATATATACGTATATGTATTAGAGTATGTATATATACATACATACATAAATATATACATATATATATACATATGGCATATATAATGTGTATGTGGTATTGCATGTATGTGTGTTTGTGTGTATATGGATGTAAACATATAAATGTACAGTTGTATAATATTATTTATATATATATATATATATATATATATATATAATATGTATATATTATATATTATATATATATATAATATTATATATTAATATGATAATGTATTATATGTGTGTGTGTGTGTGCGTGTGTGCATACACACATAGCATGTGTTTGGTACTTCACCAGAGCGGTAACAGGTTGTGTGGTATTTGACAGTTGACTGTGTGGATGACTGGTTTTATCAGAAAGCCCTTACCACACAGCTGCTTAATGGCTTTGTCGACATGCATAATTCTAAATCAAATTCAAATGTATTTCACTCACCCTTTTCAGAATCCCCGTTACCACACAGCTACTTAATGGCTTGTTGATATTCATAATTCTAAATCAAATTCAAATGTATTTTACTTACCCTTTTCAGAAAGCCACTTACCACATAGCTGTTTAATGTCTTGTCGACATGCATAATTCTAAATCAAATTCAAATGTATTCTACTCACTTTTTTCTCCCTTCTGCTGCGCCCACAGGTGTGTCCTTCATCTCCCTGAGCGACATCAGCCCCGCCCTCAGGAGGATGGCTTCCTACGGCTACAGTATGCTAGGATACGGTCCGCCTCCATCCTACGGCGAGGACGACCTTGAAATCTATGAGGTCCGATGGTAATGTGTTGTTTTTCTTTTCTTTCTTCTTTCTTTTCTTCTTCTTCTTTCTTCTTCCTTCTTCTTTTCTTCTTCTTCTTCTCTTCTTCTCTCTTCTTCTTCTTCTTCTTCTTCTTCCCTTTCTCCTCTTCTTCTTCTTTCTTCTTCTTCTTTTATTGGTATTAGTTTGGTTAGTTTTATTGTTCCTTTGATTTCGGTTTTGTTATTATCATATCTTTATTTGTTCTTTACTTATTTGTTCTTTCTCTTAATAGTATTATTATGATTCGTATTGTTGTTCCTTTGATTACACCTTTATTATTATTATCTTTATTTGTTCTCTATTTTTTCTTTTCGTTTTTTTTTTCTTTTTTTTTTGCGGTGATGGTTGGGTTGATTTTTGTCTTTAATTTCTTAGTTTTCATGTTTTCATTGTTTTTACGCTTCTTCATTAGGGTGAGATAATTATTTATCAATTTTCCTTTTTTTTATTAATATCTATTCATTTTAGCTTTTCTGAGATATGAGAGGTCGATAATTGATGGATAGATATAGATAGACAGATTTTTAAGAAATAGATTAATGAATAGATAAGTAGAAAAAATAGAGGTATATCAATAAAAAATATTTTTTGTAATCATTATTAGTAATATTATTATTATTACTATTCTTATTGCCATCATTATTATCATTCTATTATAAATGATTTTGACAATAAAATCATTAGGTTCTCCCTTTCCCCTTTCTCTGTCTCTCCTTTCCTTTCCCCTTCTTTATCTCTCGTTTACTTTCCCTCTCCTTGTCTCTCTTTTACTTTTCTCTTGTTCTTCTCCATTTTCTCATCTTGTCTTGTCTTTTACTTTTCTCTTCCTTTTTTATTTTACTTTCTCTTCTGTCTTCTTCTTTTACCTTTCTCTTCCTTGTCTCTCTTTTACTTTTCTCTTCCTTGTCTCTCCATTTTCTCTTCCTTGTCTTTCTTTTACTTTTCTCTTCCTTGTTTTTCTTTACATTTCTCTTCTTTGTCTCTCCTTTCCTTTCCCCTTCCTTGTCTCTCATTTACAACGTGTAGAAACATATGTTATATTATGTGTGTTGTCGGACTTTTGCTTGTGAGTGTACACACATACACAAGCTGTGAAACACTATAACGGTAATGTATTCAACATGAAAGTGAATTTTTTTCTCTCTCTCTCTTTCTCTTTCTCTTTCTCTCTTCTCTCTTTTCTCTCTCCTTTCTATCTATCTTGTCTCTCTCTTCTCTCTCTCTCTCATTCTCTCTCTCTTTCATTCTCTCCTCTCTCTTCCTCTCTCTCTCTCTCTCTCTCTCTCTCTCTCTCTCTCTCTCTCTCCTCTTCTCTCTCTCTCTCTCTCTCTTCTCTCCTCTCCTCTCTCTTCTCTC